TTTTTACAAGGTAAGAATCATTTCCTAGTTACGTGTAATTCATTTTTTGTAATACCATACCGTCATTCATGTCCAAATGGAGACCCAGTCAAATTGTCATTTACCATTAATGAGCAAGTGCTACCAGCTAGCGTAAGGCTGTGCAGTCTACCCATTCACACTGATCGCCTGTCTCTAACAGTGTCATCTGTAACGTTATCTCATACAAAAAATAAACAACGCAGATTTTGCATTTAAATGTCTATGCTTCTCTCAGATGCTCATAAACTTACGTTAGAGGCAACATAAACATTGTGCCTGTGAGGCTTTTTAACACTACACTTGACAGTTAACTTTAGCTGGCAGCTGGATAAAAACTGTTAAAATGCTGACAGGTAAACTGTGTACAAGTTTGTCTGATTATATAGTTGATTTCCAAAGTGATTGTGCATTACCCCTTTCCCATCCAGAGTTTGTTTTTGTCATTTAACAGGAATTTACTGAACAAATAGAAAATGGATGAAGTGTCAGGATAGTTATATGGGCTGGGACAATGGTTCTAAGCTCCCTCTTGGTGGTACTCTCAGGCAGTTGATTTCTTTTATCAGGAAAGAAGAGTGATGACCCTTTATCCCCTGATTATGTGCCGTCAGTGTTTGCGCACACCAAGTCCCCTGAGAAGCGGCGAGCCCTGGGCAGTCTAGGGAAGTATGAGGTCAGAGAGGCAATGAAGAAAAAAAAGCGTCAGGAGTCATCCAAACCTGAAGCTGCCAGGGGACTTCTCAATCTATCAGCTGAGATTAATGTTTTACATGAGGTTGAGGACGAGATTGTAGAGGAGGCGATTGTAGAAGAGGCTAGTATCAGTAAAACTAATGGCAAATGTGATGCAATGTGCCAAACCAACCTCACTTCAGACTACATTGAGTCTCTTGAATTTGAGTGTCAGCAACTCCGGGGTGATACGTTTGCTCTGAAGGAGAAGCTGAAGCCCTCAGACCTGGAACAGAGCACTTTTGAAAACAGCGACAAACTTAAAACCTTTACAGGACTGCCCAACTATAAAGTGTTTATGGCTGTGATTGACTTAATAACTCCCTTACTTAAGAATACAGCAAACATCACCATCTTCCACCAGCTACTGTTGACATTAATGAGGATCAGGCTTGCCGATTGCTTTTTTGTCATATCTGTTTGGTGTTCATATGTCCACAATTTCAAGAGTTTTTACAAATGTCATTAATATACTAAATGACAACTTAGTACCTGTGTGTGTGGTATGGCCTGACAGAGATGATGTCCAAACATCTCTGCCAATGTGTTTCAGAAAGTCTTTCAAGCAATGCATGTCAGTAATAGACTGTTTTGAAATTACCATTGACAGACCTAAAGATCTGAAGGCAAGGGCCCAGACTCTCAGTATAAATCACACAACACCATAAAATACCTAATAGGTATAACTCCACAAGGGATAATCTCCTTCATCTCCAAGGGCTGGGGTGGGCGGTCAACTGATGCTCACATTACAGCAAACAGTGGGTTTTTGGATAATCTCCTACCAGGAGACTTGATCCTAGCAGACCGTGGCTTTAGGATTCAGGAACAAGTTGGCTTGTACTGTGCAAGGGTTGAAACTCCTGCCTTTACACGGGGGAAAAAACAGCTGGGCGCTGTCGAACTGGAAGATTCCAGAAAACTTGCAGCAGTCCGCATACACGTTGAGAGGGTAATTGGTCAAGCACGATCCAAGTACAGAATGTTGCATGGACCTGTGCCCATTAGTCTTCTGATTAAGTCATCAGAAGAAGAGGAGTTCACTTCTCTTGACAAAATAGTTAGAGTGGCTTGTGCCCTAACGAATCTGTGCCCCTCAGTGGTGCCAATAGATTAGCTGAAAAAAAAAACCCAGTTATTCTTTAACAGAGAGGTTTCTAAGTTTTTTGAAAGCACTTTGAGTAACAATTTCCAGTGTAAATAGTTGTACTAGCACATTAACAATCAATTCTTTACTTATCCAATTCTTTACTATGTGTCAGTTCCCTAACACATTCACACTATGTATTTAATTGAAACATGCAGGACAAACATTATAAATCGCAGTTGAAAACACGTCTATTCAGACAAGCTTTTAATATGTAGCTTCCGTCCTGTTTCAACTGCTATTTTATCTACTCTTATGTTTTTATATATTGTTGTTTATTGATGTTTTTACTGGAAAGCGCCTTGTGCACATTTTGGTTGATGTAAAGCGCTCAACAAATAAAATTTGATTGATTGATTGATAAAAGAAGTTGTATATGAGTGTACATTATGTAATTTAGGTTGGCTTTTATAAACGTGTTGAAAGATGTTTTTTTGTAAAATAAACCAGCGCTCAACCTTTTGACCGTCCTGTTGTCCCTTATAAAAGGATATTAAATGTATGTAGAATTACACACGGGCAAATCTTACTAAATAATTCAATTCAATTTTATTAGTAGTATCAAATCATAACAAGAGTTATTTCGAAAAACTTTACAACTAGAGTAGGTCTAGACAACAACGAGAATTGTTGGCTCTTTGTAAATTATAGTGTTCACTTCGTTTTGAACAACACCCTACTACTCCTCCAATTCTTGTGAGTCTGTGGACTGTGTTTTGTCTGACAGCAGTCTATCTGGACATGTATACGTCTTAGCCAATAACTCGGATAAAATGGCTGACCTATAGAAAGACTCGACATTCTGCACTGCTTCTGTAAAAAAGTCAGCATCAGGAAAAATTCTCTGAATGAAAAAATCAGATGTAGACCACACCATGAAGTCACAAAACTTCCGCCTCGTAACAAACAACTGGGCTTGCACCTGGTAGTGGTATTGATGATCTCTGTTAAGTGCATGTTTACGATCTGTGTTCTCAATGCAGAAATGTTTCTTTTCAGTGGCACTGAGGACTCCGGTGTCTTTGGCACAGTGTGGGCACTTGATTTCCAAAATACCATCGCCACAGCAGGAGCAGGACACCAAGGCATCTGGAGATGCTCCAAGGTAGGGACGGGAGGTATCAATGTGGAGACCGGCATCACGAACACTTAGGTCTTGATGATGTTGTGCAGCGTACGCCTCATACGTTTCTCTGGCTTTTTGTTCATGTTCACATCCCTGTTAATTAGAAAAATAATGTTATTAAGTCATCGTAACTCTTTGAGTGCTCTTTTCATTGGATTTGTTCTCTCATTTCCTAAGAACTATAAGTACTATAGATGTCAGTACCCAAAATTGGCCTAATTTTAATAGCACATAATATTCTCTTGTATCATATTCTTATTCTATCATAGTCATTTACAAATATGTGAATTAAATATAACAGGAATAGGGATGCACAATATTAGATGTTGGCCAATATTCGATATGCCAATATTTTGGCTTTTTGATTTCATTGAAATCAAATAAATGTCTCTCTCCTGTACTGCCTTTATCTTATTACACTCATGTGTTGTAGATAAGGCAATACAAAAGACAAACAACATTTGATTCTACCATAAATATATAATTTTAAAAATGTATACAGACATTCACCCCTGAAAAATAGATCAATTATTTCACTTAGAATAAATGAGGAGAATAAGTGATATGCCTGTGCCACAATTTATTTTTAAGTTCAGACTTCAAACTTCAGTCCTTAGGAGTAGGGATGTGACAGTGAAGATAAATTTCACTAATTTAAAGGCAAAAGTAAAATGCGCGTTTGCACGGGCATGCATTATAAGGATAGTTCACTTTGAAATTAATTTTTGGTATGTTTTATCTTACCTCAAGGGCATCCAAGATGTAGATGTCTTTGTTTCCACAGTATTTTCAATTTTGACATTTTTAGGTCAAACCGTTCTTGTCTGTCAGTCATATAATGGAGGTCTATGGTCACCACCTCAGATCATGCACAGAGAAGTCCAAATTAAACATGATTTAATGACTCGTAAATGTAAGTACACATTGATGGCCTAAGACACGAAACGAGCGGTTTGTGTGAGAAAACGAACAATATTTATATCGTTTTTACCTTGTGTAGCCACAGCCACATCCAAGTGATCTGAATCAGTTATCCAATGTCCAACTGGACCGAACTGAACCGTGTCCAACATTCCGTCGGTAGTGATCACTTGCGCATGTACGTCACTTATTGTTTACACAGAGATTTCGGAAGTTTTACTATTTCGATATATCTAAATATGTTTAGTGAAAGGTAAAACGTCCAAAATCTATGTGTAAACATTGAGTGACGTACACACACAAGCGATCACTACCGACGGAACGTTGGACACGGTTCAGTTCGGTCAAGTTGGACATTGGATTGGTCTTAGTCCATCAATGTGTACTTACATTTACGAGTCATTAAATCATGTTTAATTTGGACTTCTCTGTGCATGCTCTGAGGTGGTGACCATAGACCTCCATTATATGCCTGACAGACAAGAACGGTTTGACCGAAAAATGTCAAAGTTCAAAATGCTGTGGAAATAAAGACACCTACATCTTGGATGCCCTTGAGGTAAGATATAAAACACATCAAAAATTAATTTCAAAGTGAACTATCCCTTTAATGGTGGTCGTGCGTAGCAGCACTGTTTTGTTATTGTGCCTTGAATTGGCGCTAATTTGAAAACAATTTTTTTTACATCGCTTATAAAAAGCTGTTGCGGCAGTGTGCACTTCACTCTCTATGTTAATTTAAAACTTTATTTAAATCATTTAAGACTGATCTTATGAGGACACTCAACAAAACTGACATTTTGGCATAATTTGTACGTGTTATGTTTTGTTCAAGCCTGAAAGAGAATTCGATACTGACGTGAGTCTTTTTTTCCACACAGCTGGCATGTTGGAAGTTTAAGTTATTAAAAATAGGTAAGGGCACTCAAAGAGATTGAGGGGTGCATGTTTGTAATTTAATGTTGATAATTTGTAATACTGACTGCAATAAATTTTCCAATGCTAAACATTTCTTTGTCTTGTGTTTGTTTCTTTGATTTTTTTTTTTTTTTAAGAAAGCTGGGGCCCTCTACATTAGAACACAACATGTATACATTTCCATTGTTGAAACATAAGTTCAAAGCACATCTTTGTTTGTGTCATTATGTCACACATGCCTGGTTGCAACTGTAGAAAATCTGCATAGGTCAGGGTAACAGATCTGCCTAATTAGGGATTTTGAAGGATTTGTAGGGTCTGTCCTTGCAGCTGACTTGAACCTAGATGCCGTCACCCTACCAGCCCTCATGTCAAACCATAGCCTTGACTTTCCCTGTTGTCGTGTCTCTTCCTCAACTCTTACTGCCTACAACATTGTAAATTATAGAAGATGAAATTAATGACATGACACCTTCAAGCACATTTTAAGTCAAGTCAAGTCAAGTCACATTTATTTATATAGCGCTTTTCACAATACAGATTGTATCAAAGCAGCTTCACAGTGATAACATGCAAGTAGCACAACACAGATCAACAACATTGCTAAACACTAAATAAATAACCCCAACTGAGCAAGCTCAAAGCAAGCCAAAAGCAAGGCGACAGTGGCAAGGAACCAAACTCCATCAGATTGGATGGAGAAAAAACCTTGGGAGAACCCAGGCTCAGTCGGGGGCCAGTTCTCCTCTGGCTTACATTCATATTGTTTAAATATAAATATTAAATATAAATATTGTTTATGAATCAAACGGCGCCATAACATATCGCAGGCGTTGAGTCGTCTCATCACAGGCGTTGAGTCGTCTCATCACAGGCGTTGGGGCATCCGAAATCCCCGTGAGAGGCTGGACACAAAACTGGACCTGACGAACGCCATTTTTCTCGGGACAAGCGTCCCGAGATAACAGCAGAAAGGCAGATGAGAAATAATTAGCATAGCTGATGTTCATAATAATTTCCGTTATAACTCACAAACTCTCCGTAACCCGAACATTTTAGTCATATGAGATTAAGAGGGATGACTATACCTGCTCTGGTGTGACTTCCATATCATTAAATACTGCATCACATTTCTTCTCAAGGTCCGAGGCAGACAGCTTCCGGTTCTGAGCACTGTATAACTCGGTCAGGGGATGTGGTAGACCCAGAGACACCACCTTTGGTTGAAACTGTTTACAGTAGTGCGGCAATATGCGTAGTATACCACTCTTCTCAGAAGGGTTTGGAGTTGCATTATCCAGAGCCTTGTAGAATTGTTCTATAGCTGCTGCAGACACACCCACTTTTTTCCCAGAAGGACAACCTGAATGGCTTTGGTTGTTTACACCACAACGCTTTTTGGCAGGATTTGAGAAATCAATTCCTGACCCTTCTTCGTACAAAGCCTTGCCTGCTTTCAAAGGAGGAAGTCCCCACTGTCTGGGCCCATCAGTGCAGCTTTTGTCTCCCAGATGTTTGACAGCAGAGTCTGTATTGCGTACAGCAAAGCTGTTACGTGGGAGCACACCTCTCCCAGGCCCGCTTTACATGTACAGTGGCCACACAAAACTGTCCCATCCTTCTTCAAAGATACCCATGGTTGAAGTTGGGTTTCAGACAGTGACTGGCTATGATGCACCTACAATTACAGAAAGTGGCATAAATACATTATTCTTACATGTATGTTATTGTTTACTTCTGCAGTGACACCATACATGCACCTTGTGGATACATCTTAATCACAATGCTGTTTAACAGGTCAAATTTTAACATAGGCTACAGTGAATATCACAGATAAAGATGGCTAGATGTTACAATTATGTGTGCCTACTGATCACACTCCGTGGTTTACTGGCTATAATGCACCTACATTAAAAAGTGCCATAAAAACATTATTCTTACATAAATGTTATTGTTTACTGTTGCAGTGACACCATAAATGCACCTTGTGAATACATCTTAATCACAACGCTGTGTTTACCAGGTCAAATTTTAACATAGGCTACAGTAAATATAACAACATAAAGATGGCTAAATGTTTCAATTATATGTGGCTATTACTGATCACGGATACTCCGTGGTTTACTGCATGGATTAAAGTGTGATCGATCATTAATGACTGCACTTCCCAGAGCAGGGATGCGTCCAGGCCTTTTTACAGTCTATGGTCCAGGCATCCATTTAAAAGCCACGGCCGACAATGTCCTCTAAAATCATAGGCTACGTGTTATATAAATATTTACTTAAGTTAAAAATAGATATTAATACAAAATAAACCATATATTGATGTCTTACCTTTGCCATTATGAGGTAGCTCCCCCCGCCGTTAGCATAGCATCGCGTACCTGTTACCCAGCCAGCTACAAAGAACTGGTAAGCATCCAGACTTTTAAATGCTTTGAGATCAGCTCCCGTGTATGGCGATACCCCGTTTACCACATAGTGGTACAAATCGTGTGGGCCGAAGTCGGGCAGATCCGGCGATTAAATGAGCTCCGTAAAAGCTGAGGGAGGAAGAAGGTATGGGTCGGTATCCAAACCTGCGATCTCTAACTTCTCCAAATACCGCTCTTTGTGAGGACCTAGCAGATGCCCTACCTCGACCGATAACGGCACGACAACTTTTTCAGTAGAAGAAGCCATGCAGTTTAGTGGTCTTATCTATACTAAGTTAAACTGTTTTAAAAACTAATCAAATTTCCCGCTCATCTACTACTGTGTTTAGCCTGTGCATCCAGTGATGTTGCCGTCCAGCATGGCGTCGTCACGTGGTTGCAAAGGGTCTATAGAAACAATCAAATCCGTGGCAGGTGAAATTGGTATTTTGAATTTGAATGTATGTCCACCGGTATGTTGGTCAGAAGTACCTTTGTGGTTGATTCCAGATCCCAATGTTGATTTATATTTTTTGAAAACAAGTAAAAGAATGATGTCAGAGGTTGTAGTGGAGGAGATAAAATCCCAGCAATGTCAAATATGGGGAGACCACCTACAAATTTACACTGATGGGTCAAAGGATCCTGAGAGTGGGAAAGTGGCCTTTGGTATAAGTATACCCAAATTAGGTTATAAAAAAGGATATAGGATCCCTGATTATTTCTCAGTGTTTACTGCAGAGTTGATGGCAGTTCTATGGGCAGTAAGGTGGGTAGAAGATAACAAAAGGGAGTATTCTGTCATATGTAGTGATTCTGCTGCAACCCTAAATACAATTAAAAATATGAAAACTAAGGCTAGACCTGACTTACTTGTGGAAATTTTGCAGGTGTTGTATAGAATTCATAAAGCAGGGAATGAGGTGGGGTTTTTGTGGGTTCCGGCACACATGGGTGTGGAGGGTAATGAGGAGGCAGATGAGGTGGCGAAGAAAGCAGTGCAAGAGGAAAGAGTTCAACTTGATTTGCAGCATGGGTTACCAGATTACACAGAAATAATAAATAGGTCAGTAAAAGAAATGTGGCAAAGGTCGTGGGATTGTGAAAGGAATGGGAGAGCATATTATTCAGTACAAAAAATGGTAGAGAAAGACAGATGTAATTATAGATGTCAGAGAAAAGATGCAGTAGTGTTATCTAGATTGAGGTTTGGGCATTGTGGGCTGAGAGGTGGGCTGGCTCTGATTGGTAAACATCCTGATGGACAGTGTGAATGTGGAGAAAAGGAAACAGTGGTGCATGTATTAATGCAGTGCAGGAGGTACTCTTAGCAAAGGAAGAAATTGTTCAGGGAACTGGGAGCAACAGGAGAAACTGTTTTTAATTTATGCTCTTTATTGAATTTGGACAGTTGGGAAAAATTAAAGAAATTGATGGAGTATTTGCGAAATATTGGAGTATATAAAAAGATATAGATTTTTTTTTTTTTTTTTTTTTGGAAGCAGTTTTAAAATTGTAAATAGCGATTAGCCACAAGTTTCCGAGGGGCGCTCCTGTAAAAAATAAAGTGGGTGAAACTTCCGGTGACGCGGCGGAAGTAGCATTCCAATGGTATTTTGTGTGTTAGTTAGCGAAGAGGCTAGCTGTTTTTCGGAGAATTATTTTACTATTTAAAGACGCAAATCTTTATGGGAGATGTCGTTACGGAGCTCAGGGACAACATGTGCTGTTCGCGGTTGTATGTATAGCCGGACTAAACTAATTTAGTGGCTTAAACGGGATTGTTTTGAACATAAGCTGAAAACGAAATCAGAGTGATCCTGACAGAGCCCGTCTCTGATTCTGCCAACCACTGTAGTTTCCATCATCTCCCAAAAGACGACGAATCTTACTGTGTACATTTGTTTAAATTCTTAATGTTCTATAAACTCTATCAGCATGTGTTTGGCTGTTCGCTACTGATGTTACACCTAAACTCAGGATCAAAGCCTGAGTTGACAGAATACCAAATGTGCCAGTTAATGTATTCAAGCAGCACATTCATTTATAATTTTGAATAAATTCCAAAGCACAATGACTAAGTGTGTATTTTTTTATTTTAATTGTTTGTCAGCTCGCACAACTGTCTGTCACCATGCCTTGATGAGTATTGATTATTAATAATGTTACTGCGGAGGGTAAAAGTACTGTTATTTCCCCCTTTTGAATTTCGTTGAGGTTGTTCCCACATCATTAGCTAGTTTGGATCGCTATAACTTGAATGACTGTCAACTGTTGAATGAACGAGTGTTAAGCATGTCAAATCGCGCTTTGTTTACTTCCAACCGGAAGTCGCGCCCACTTTTGACGCAAGGCCTCATGGGGCATAGGAAACTTGTGGAGAGAACAGAGGAGGGCAGCAATACGCCATAGCTGCGTCTAGCCTGCCGGAAGTACAAGAAGAAGAAGAAGAAGAACTCCAGTTGGAATTTTCACCCCGATATGGCTGCCGCGCTACCGAAGCGCCATCTAGTGGCTGTAACCAAAAAGCATCAGAGTTTCGCCTCTTGTTCTTCTATACTCTTTGTCTTCAGTGAGAACGAGCTGTGAAATTCGCTTACTGAATGCCGTTTTAAGATCGTCGTTGTGTTCCTTCGAGTGTTGAAGTTGTGTGCGTCCAGAGAGAAAGTGAGTTTGTAAATTTCACTATGTTACTCGAGTTAAGTTGATTGTTGTTTACTGAGAAGTTAAGAGAGTGATGACACAAATGGATGCTAATGTGAAGTATAGCAGTCTTTGAGTTATCATCCAGTACAGTGTAATCATGTAAGCTGTGTAGCTTTATGGTTTATGTTCTACTGTATTTAAAGGAAACACTGTGTTGAAGTTTGAGGGAAGCCAGTAGTTTTAATGCTATTTATGTTATAACAACTTCAACCTTTCATAAAAGTGTAAAATTATTATAACAAGAGGAGTGGTCTATTAATTCCCTTTACTCAAAAGTATTGCACCAACACATTCACCAAAGAATAGCGGGTTGGACTTATAAGGGCACTTTATTCATTTGTCAGGCACCTGCAAACATAGCAAATCTGTTGACTCTTTGTTTAAAACTCAAACAAAGCAAAAACAAACAAAATATGAATAACAAATATACTCAACAGCCAGCTGTCTCAGTCCTTTTCTGCTTTGGGGTAGGTAGGCAATCCAAAGTCTGGATGGAAAACAATGTCCCCAAAAAGAGGGAAAAAGAATACATCCACTGGTTCAAGGTCCCACAAAAAAAAGTGTATCCTCCAGTTGGAATAAGTCCCCAAAAAGAGAAAAAGAATAAATCCACTGGTTCAAGGTCCCACAAGAAAAAGGTTCAGTTATATACCAAAACATGCACACATGAGACGTCTCCAACGGCTAATAGACCATGGCCCTCATTTATCAATCTTGCGTAGAAACGGGTGTATATGTTGGCGTAAGATTATGCTTACACTCCTCTCACCGCCTGATTTATGAAGATGTGCGTACCTTTGAAATCCAGATGTACGCAATGCCTGCCCTTGATAAATCCCGCGGCCGAAAACGATCGTCATTAGAATAGTACGCCCCTAAATATTCAAGTCTCCGCTCCCCCCACGCCCTCATTTTATGCCATGGACACACGGAAGACGGCAAAGAAGAGAAACTTCTCCGACGTGGAGCTGAAATGACCTATCACAATGCATTATTTTACAGCACGTCTTTTGAAATAGCATTCAATTTCGAAACACGTCACATGTATAATAGTGATGATGATGATGTGATGTGAAGTACCATTTATTCACAATAATAATTGCATGACTGAAACCTGGCTTAAACCAAATGAGTATTTCGGTCTAAACGAATCTACTCCGCCAGGATACTGTTATAAACATGAGCCTCGCCTGATCGGTCGTGACGGCGGTGTTGCAACAATCTATAAAGATATTTTTAATATTACTCAGAAAACATGTCACAGGTTTAATTCATTTGAAGTACTTGTGCTAAATGTTACGCTCTTAGATGTAAGAAGGAAATCCATATTATCTCTAGCCTTGGCTACTGTATATAGACCTCCAGGGCCATATGCTGAATTCCTAAAAGAGTTTGCAGACTTTCTCTCAGATCTATTGGTGAACGTCGATAAAGCAATAATTGCTGGAGATTTTAACATACAGGTAGATAATACAAATGATGCTTTAGGGGCTGCGTTTACAGACTTATTAAACTCCTTTAGGGTCAAACAAAACGTCAGTGGTCCCACTCACCGTCTAAATCATACACTAGATTTAATTATATCATATGGAACCGATCCAACTGATATTGATATTATACCGCAAAGCAATGATGTCACTGATCATTACATGGTGACTTGCATAATACGTACTGATGAAATATGTCATGTTGCGCCACGTTATAGACCAGGCAGAACAATCCTTCCAACCACTATAGATGTATTCTCAAATAGCTTACCTGATCTATCTAAGCTGCTAAGTGAACCCAAACAAACAGATGAATTAGAGGAAATGACTAGCAGTTTAAGCACCATTTTTACTAGTACATAAGATATTGTTGCACCAATTAGATTAAAAAAGGTTAGAGAGAAAACTAAAGCACCATGGTACAACAGTGCTACGCATGCTATCAAGAGAGAAACTCGCAACTTAGAGCGTAAATGGAAACAAACTAATTTAGAGGTCTTTAGAATCGCGTGGAAAGACAGTATGTCACGTTATAAAAAGACACTAAAAACAGCCAGGGCTGAGCATCTCCGCAAACTAATAGAAAATAACCAAAATAATCCAAGGTTTTTATTTAACACCGTGGCTAGACTAACAAATAAACAGACATCACCAGAGCAAAATATACCGTTACAGTTTAGTAGTAATGATTTTATGAATTACTTCAATGAGAAAATAGAAAGCATCCGAAACACAATTATAAATGTACAATCCTCTATGAAGTCTTATGATTCAGCTTCAATTATGGCCCCTCTAGAACAACTAAACCGCTTTACAACGATAGGACAGGAGGAGCTAAATAAACTTATCATTGCTTCTAAACCAACAACTTGT